AGAGTCAAACTGAAATGTTTTTCTTAAGGAACCGAAAGGAACCTCACAGAAGGAAAAAACTCTTTAATATAAGGAACCGCCTTTGAGGCTAAAAAGGGAGATGAAATGGTTTGGAGCATCAGTAAGGAAGACAGGAAAAGGAGGGAGGGAGGGAGGGAGGGAGAAGGGGAGCTGAAGAGACAGTGAAGAACAAGGTCGATAATGCATGTGATGTATGGGGAGCTGAAGAGACAGTGAAGAACAAGGTCGATGATGCATGTGATGTATGGAGAGCTGAAGAGACAGTGAAGAACAAGGTCGATAATGCATGTGATGTATGGAGCATGCCAGTGAGGCTGAAAGGCAAGGTTAGTGGCAGTCAAGGTGAGGAAAAATGGAGTGGGCGATAGGGAGCTGAGCAGAACGAAAGATGGAGGTAAGAAGAGAAGAAACGAAAGTCATCAGCCTTCAGACTGCTGCTGATAAACTGATTGATGCATGCATGCCTCTTTGTTTAAAGATTGTCAGAATCTCCTGACAATCTCGACTCTACCCGTTCTGTAGTTTGTTCCATTATCCTGACCTGTGACTCATTTCAGATGTTCGCATCGATCAGAGAATTTGTTTCTCTCCAGGAGTCCTTCGGTTCACATTCTTTCTCATGCACCATGCAGCTGATGATGTGAACTTGCAGGGCCCTCCTTCACTGCTCTCTCCTCTGCTGACGACCTCTTCAAGACTGCGGCGACATTGAACGCAAAGGTTTCATGCCAGTCAGCACTGCGCCCGAGTCATTCTGCTACAGGCGAAGGATCTCTATCAATCGGCTCAGGACACTTACTTCCAGGCAAACCAGCAGGTCGCCTTCGAGCAGTACAAGAGCGGAGTGCAAGTAGGTGAGGACGTGTACGAGTTGGCGTTTGACTTTGATGCAAGGAGTGGGATCATTACTTTAACCGCCCGGATGAGTACTGATGACGTTTCTCCCTCTTTTCTCTTTCCATATGTTCTCTGCTGGATTGAGTGTTTTGTTTCGTGTTGGTTGAGAAGAGAATTGTTTGTCTGCTGGAAAATTTTGTAAGTTGAGAGTGAACGAGAATGAAAATCTGAGAGGTGTTATGAACCCTGAATATATAAGAGATCCAATGAAGGCTGAGGCAACGATTGTGCAGAATGCAAGTCAGTCAGATAGTATGGCCGTTGTCTGGTTCCATACTTTGGCTTGTGACAATTGTACGGGTAAACTTGCGAATGTTGAGCTTTGATTTGGTATATTTAATTCAAGTGGTCTAGGAAGTTTAGTCTAGTTAAGGGAGGAAACGAAGAGATGACACTCGTACTTGTCAGCAACACATACAGCAGGTCCATCCGACCGTCAGCGAGCTTAAATCCCGTGCTGAAGTTTCACCACAAAAGTTTGCGGAGTGCTCATTTCGTCCCACATCTTCGCCACTGCCTGCCAGTCTCTCCCTGCAGACTCGCCGGCCGCGTGCAGCGACTGAGCGTTGGGCTTTCCGTCCAAGCAGGAAGGCGAAGGGCTGGAGCCCTTGACGTGGCTGCACTGCTTGACCTTGCGGGGGACTCCAAACTCTTGGAGGTAGAGCTTGAGGCGAAGATGATTAATCAGCTTCTGCTTCGCATTCAGCTGCCTCAGGCTCGGCTGTCCTCTTCTCGCCCTTGACAATCGATCGGCCAGCGACGTGGATGCAACGGCGAGCTTGAAGGCGCCGGGACGATGGCGAGAAGAGACGATGAGCATTTTCAAGGTGTCGCACATTGCCTTCTGATCATTCACAACTTGGGTTGCGTGGGCAGAGTCTAGCGACTTGCCCGCGATGCAAGACTTGAACGCGTCCCATCTGCGAACATAATTCCTGATCTTGACATAATGCTGCTTGTGCAGGGAGATGCTCGTCGAGTCCTTGTTGCTGTGCTCAGTTGCTCGCTCGGTCACCTTTGCGGGCATCTTCAAGTTCTTGGCTTGTGCAGCAGCAGAGGATGGCGCAGGAGCCTTGAAAGGAGCGACTGGCTGTTGCTGAGGAGACTTTGAGTTGGTCTGCTCCTCCTTGAGGTCTCGAAAGACTTTCAACTTGGAGTCTAAAGTCTTAGCGAGAGACTTGGCAGCTTTCTCGTCTGGGATGTAGTTGGTGATGAACTTCTGCAGCTGCTTCTGCTCCTCTTGAGCGACATGAGGGCTCTTGCTGACTTTCTTCTCAGCGGAAGCTGGAGGTTTGAGGTGCGAGATAGACTTCAATGTAGCGCAATCTTCATCACTGGTACACATCCGACCAGCTCGAGATCGCAGCTTCCTGATGCGCCGGTCGAGGTCCTCGCCTGCAGCACGATCAACAAAACGCAACAACAAAAGCAACACTCACTTGTTTGTGCCATGCCCATGCCTGGGAAGCGCGATGGTGGCCGAGAAGTGAAAGTCTTCCAATAGCTCTGAAGCATTCCGAACGAAGGCGAATAATCTGAGGGCAGGTACAAAGACTGTATCCTTCCCTGGAGCGACGCGTGCACAAAATTCTTTATGAGCTTTGCTCGCTGAGCATCAACCAGCTGCTGCTCGTGGTCGAGTTGCATCTCTCGCAACAAAAACTTCTCCCACCGATCGGTCAGTGAGGTCCATTCTACCTCTCGCTTGGAGCTCTCATGGGCCTCCTCCACCTGAGGGGCGGGGGGCTTGGTTGCAGCTGCCTTGGCAGGGGAAGCCGTCGTGGGCTTCACCTTGACATCAGTCTTGGCGGGAGCCAAGGAAGTCTGGTGAGGCTTGGAGAAAGCGGATGATCCTTTGGAGAGAGCGAAGTCCTTCTCTGCGCTGAGAACTAACCCTCGCATGATCATCTCCCGAGGTGAAGCCGCTGAGGGCGAAAGTCAATTCCGAACTTGGCGAGAGAAACCTCACCATGATGCATCTTCATTGCTGCACGGTAGGACTTGAGAAAGCTCTTTCCGTCATCAAGATCGTTCGCAAAGTTAGCAACAGGCGAATCCTCTTGCCTCAGCTTGGATCCAGGTTGCTGAACCTTGACCTTGACATCTTCCTCCCACAAGCTCTCAGCAGCTTTCCATCCCCTTAGGCTCCCATGGAGCTGCACAAAGTTAATCATAGCGTGGAGATATTTTTGTCGAGCCCGATCGAATAGATCCTTTGATGTCTCTGCACTTCTGCCTGTGATCAAGTACGTCATTGAGCAATCGCAAAATTTCTTCGCTTTCATTCGTACCTTGCAATTGCAGCAGTTTGGCTTTGTTCGCGAACTGCGAGTCCCACGTTCTCGTAAGCTGCTTCCAGTTCTTCATCGTGGGCTTGTTTGCTCGATCAAAGTAGGTGAATGCAGCTGCCAGAAGGTACGTCTTGGCCAGGTTTGTTCCATCCGCCTGCAGACTAGACCCCCCGTGGGAAGGAGCTTTGTCCGCAATGCTGGGCCGATTGTACCAGTACTCCCATTCCTGCTGTCCTCTCTTCCAATCTTCATATGAAGCCTGCGAATTCGCCTGCCAGTACGCCTCTTGAGCTTTGTGGTAGTACTCCCTGGCTTCATTCTCATACTCCTCGGCCTGTTTGTACATGTCTTGCGCTTCCTGGCTGTAGAGAGTTTGGTGTGCGAGTTGCCTATTCGATTGCCTTTCAAGCAGCAGCTTTTTCTTGAGGTCTTCTTCCTGCACTTGCAACCTCAACAGCCTCACCCTTTCTTTCACCACCTGCTCCTGCGACTTGAGGGTCTGGACAACCTTCCCTTCATCCCCGTGAGAGAGACGGCGAGCATTCTGATATGGCTCGAGGAGAGAAATTTTGTCTCTCCTCCAACGAGCCATGCTGACGAGAATGGCAGCGGCTAACCCTGCCATCGCCGCCAACCCTGTTCCCCGCCATCCTGTCCGCCGCACCATGAAGAGTCGGACGTTACCTAAACCGCTGGTTTACCACTGAGTTTAGAGTAGTGCTTAGCTAAACCGTTGAACCGCTTGGCACTACAGTACGCCGGCGGCCCCGGCGTCCGAGTCCATCCGTCACCGGGCCGCGGGCGGATTTTACTCAAAGCGGATCGTCTCGCCGGGCCGGGAGTCGCGAGTACTGATTTTTAATTGAGTACTGATTTTTAACTTAACTTTGAGTAAAGAAGTTGAGTAAACGTCGAGTGGTGTACCGGTAGTCCTCGTACAGAGGAATAATGTTTAGTCAACCTAAAATGACCCTTCAAAGCTGACCCTTCAATCTACTATCCCCAATGATACCACCCACCCCTTTGTAGACCCCCACCCCGTTGATGACACCACCCTCCCCTTGCTAAAAAATAGGTCGTTGCTTCGGAAGGAATTGCAGGGTAGAAAAATTGCTGGTTGCATAAAAAGAGGGGGTAGGGTAGTCTCAGATGGAGGGTGAATTGGCATGGGGTGATGCCAAGCGGTGCCAGAAATGTAGTAAAAGAAAACTTAAGGGGTGGAGGGGGTCAGGCCTAATGTGATGAGGGGGTGGATCTGGGCTATGGCAGGGGTGGGTCATCCGGATTTGGAACAGCGACGCTGGTGATGGCGGCGGTTCAAGTGGCAGGAATGGCGCTGATGCCGCGACAGGTACGTCAGCTCTCATGCTAACGCCTTCTCTATATAGATTGCACTGCAATATCTGATGCCATCAAAGCTAAATCTATATGTTGTCATGGTAGTGAATGCTGCAAACTTTGGGATAGTTTCCTTTGCGACCTCAACTATGAGCTCGTGATTGCATATGCATTTCATGGCTCTTTGGTGAAACACCTCAATGACAGAGTTAAATCCCACCTGTTCAATTTGATTTGAAGTGGTTGAACTGTTTTGGCTGATTTCTAGCCCTGACTCTTGTGATTTCTATAGCGGGTCGGATTGTCCAAGCAAGCAGCCGTGTTGCTTGGTCTTATCGCTTGTACCTTCTTTGTGGCTACAGTCTATGATCATGTATCCACGCGCGGCTCTACAGTTGAGTTGTTGACAGCCAAGGCTGGGTCGAAGGCTCGTGTTGCTGCCACCGTGCACAAGAAACTTGGAGCTGCCTCCCACCCTGTTTTGTCTGCAGGGACCAAGCCAGTCGCTAAAGCATCCCAGTTGGCAGAAGGGGAGGAAGCTGCAGAGGCTGCTCCTGCTCAAGGAGCGGAGACTGAGCCCAAGGGAAATGAGTACGTTGTGGAGAACAACGAGGGCGCCGTTGCTGGAGCTTCCGCAATCATTTTCGTTTGCGGCGCTATTGGTATCGCTTTTGCCGTTTTTCTCTTCTACACAGTCTCCCAGATCAGCCTTGACTCATCAGGAGCTGGAGAGACTGAACAGCTGGTTGCGGCATCTAAGGCGAGTGATGAGGAGCTCAAGACTATCTATGAAACCATCCAAGAGGGTGCTAAATCTTTCCTTTGGGCGGAGTATCGAATCTGCTTTGTTTTCATTGTTTGCTTCTCTATCCTTATCTTCATCCTTGTATCGCACACGACTGAGGGCAACGAAGCTGTCTGGCGGTGGAACATTGGAGGCCTTACTGCTCTTTCCTTTGTCGTTGGTGGTCTCACCTCGATCCTCTCGGGTTACATTGGAATGATGGTTGCGGTGTTCGCAAATGCTCGTACCACTGTGTCTGCCAAGAAACAGGGCGAGGCTGGCTGGACTTCTGCCTTTAACACTGCGTTTCGTGCCGGAGGTGTCATGGGTTACTCATTGGTTGCGATTTCAATGATGGTGTTGTACATCTTGGCTTTGATCTATCGCGAGATCTTCTCCAAATGGGAGGGCGGAAAGAGATCTGTCGACTACAAGAATCTGTTCGAATGCATTGCTGGCTATGGTCTTGGTGGATCTGCGATTGCGATGTTTGGGCGTGTTGGAGGTGGAATCTTTACCAAGGCTGCGGATGTCGGTGCGGATCTTTCAGGAAAGGTATCGCGATCTGAGATTTACATTGATTCGTATGTGTAATTCTTTGCTACCAGGTCATTGGAGTTGGTGATGGAAAGAAGTTGGATGAAGACTCGCCCTACAACCCCGGTGTGATCGCCGACAACGTTGGAGACAATGTCGGTGACGTTGCGGGTATGTCTTTCTTGTTGTGTAGGCTGGGTCGCTGAGATGTTTTCCGAAAGGAATGGGTTCTGACCTTTTTGGCTCCTTTGGCGAGGCTTCTTGCGCCGCCATGCTCATTGGAGCATCATCTGTAGCGGTGAAAACATGAGCATTTGCTCCTTGACTCCTGAAACTCTTGCAGATCGAGGAGGCTGGCTGGTCTGCCTTGGTTTTCCCTCTCTACATCGCGGCATGCGGCATTGTCGTCTGCTTGTTGACATCATTCGTCGCCACGGATCTGTGAGTCATTCCTTGATGTCAGACTTTTCCATAACTGGCGTACGCAGGATGCCGGTGAAGAAGGAGGAAGACATCGAAGTCGCCCTGAAAGTTCAGCTGTTCCTGACTTCCCTTCTTATGACCTTTGCTCTGTCAGTGTGGATGATGCATGGCATGGCGACTGACCTAATTGTTCAGGTTTCCCATCACCACCATTTTCCTTCCATCAGAGATCCAGATCATGGGAGTTCCTGAGCCTGTACGCCCCTCGCCTTCTACTGATTCGTTGTCACTAATTTACATTAGGCCTCTTCGTTTGTGTGCTATATCTGCATCGTTGCTGGGCTTTGGGGTGGATGCGCGATCGGCTTCATCACCGAGTACTACACGTCTCACTCGTACCAACCTGTCCGCGACGTTGCACGAGCATCCGAGACAGGAGCTGCTACCAATATCATCTACGGCTTGGCACTTGGCTATCAGTCTGCCATCATTCCGGTGGTGATCATTTCTTTCATCATCTTCACCTCCTTCAAGTTTGCTGGAATGTATGGTGTTGCTCTGGCTGCGTTGGGAATGCTTTCTACTCTCGCTACCTGCTTGGCCATCGATGTGTACGGACCGATCTCCGACAACGCCGGTGGTATCGCGGAAATGTGTGAGCTTCCCTCTGAGGTTCGCGACAAGACGGATGCCCTCGATGCTGCTGGAAACACCACTGCCGCTATCGGAAAAGGTTTCGCAATCGGCTCAGCTGCTTTGGTTTCCCTTGCGCTTTTCGGAGCCTTTGTGACCAGGTGCTCTGCTTCGATGGATGCTCAGAATGCCCTTACAGTCAAGGGAGTCAACCTGCTGTCCCCTGTTGTCTTCGCCTTCATCCTCTTCGGAGCCATGATCCCCTACTGGTTCTCAGCGCTCACGATGAGGTCTGTTGGTGAGGCTGCCAACGCCATGGTTAAGGAGATCGCCCGCCAGTGGGCCGAGATCCCTGGGCTGTCAGACATTGCTGGATTGGACTTCCATGAGCGACAGGTAGAGTGAGCTTTCATAATGCATCATTGATGAATTTGTGTTTCAGGAATTCAAGGCCAAGCACAAGGAGGTGGTCGTTCCGGAATACGACAAGTGCATTAGCATTGCCACCAACTCGTCGCTGAAGGAGATGATTGCTCCTGGACTCCTCGTCATCCTCAGCCCCATCCTTGTTGGATCTTTCTGCGGTGTGGAGGCTGTTGCTGGTCTGCTCACAGGTGCCATCGTCTCGTCTGTTCAGTTGGCCATCTCCATGTCGAACACGGGAGGTGCTTGGGACAACGCCAAGAAGTACACGGAGAAGGGAGAACTCAACGGCTGGTTTCCCTTCCGTGACGGCAGCTCAATCGATGATGAGAAGTTCAAAGCTGCTGCTGAGGCGAACAGTGGAGACAAGGCTGTGCGTCAGCCGAAGGGAGGGTATGGCTCTACTGAGGAGCACGTGTCAGTCAAGACGTGGCTCGCTGAGCTGGAGAAGTCTGATCCCTCCAGGTATCAGAAGATTATGTCCGGAGATGAGCCTGTGGTCACGACTGATGGACGCAAGTGCATCTATGCCGGCAAGAAGTCCAACGTGCATGCGGCAGCAGTTGTTGGCGACACTGTCGGCGACCCTTTGAAGGACACCTCAGGACCTGCTCTTAACATCGTGATGAAGTTGATGGCCATCATCTCTGTTGTCTTTGCTGACTTCTTTATGTCCATTAACCATGGTAACGGAGTTTTCTGGACTGGAGACTTGTCGGCTTAAGTATTAGCGTAGTTGAGATCCTCGAGACCGCGGAGTCAAAGTAGATTATTGATTGAAATCCCGTTTATCTCATTTCCTTTTCTCCCTTCACCTTCTTTGCGTGTGACACCCTAGCGATCTCGCGTGACACGCATAAGATACAAGCAAGTCTTGATGTATTTGCACAGACATGAATAGCTACTCTACACGATTTACAGGGCTGCTCCTGCATCAGGCAGAAGCAGGAAGGAGTCTTTCTCCTGGGTCACTCAGAAGCCCCATCCTGATCCTTGACCTGCAAGGAGGTGAGCAAGGAGGGACGTACAAGGCAGGAACATTTCATCGTCAACTTCACGGTATCAACAGTGTAACTCAACACTCAGACAAATGCCTTCAAAATAATCACGAGTAGGAGGGACCCAATCCGGCGGGAATTGGAGTACACACTCCCTCATTCTCGTCATCTTGGTCTTCATCGTGATGAGTTACGTCTGCAACAAGCACAAGCACAACCGTACAAGACAAAAGACTGTAGAGCTCAAGACTTGCGGGTCAGACAATGGATATCTTTTAACGTCATCACCGTTTATCAGTCTGACGTGCAAATCAAAAGTTTTCGTCCTCATCCCCGATCAAATAGAACGAACATGAACGATGGTTACCTTGCTGCAGGATCCTTGAAAGCGACTTCTGTCTCTGGAGGAGAAAGGGACAGAGAAAGGGAATGGCAGGGGGGAGGGAGGGAGGGAGGGAGGGAGGGAGGGAGGGAGGGAGGGAAGGAGGGAGGGAGAGAGGGAGGGAGGGAGTGAGAGAGGGAGGGAGGGAAGGAGAGAAGGGGGGTGGCGGAAGGGAGGGAGACTGCAGGGGGGAAAGAGATGCTGCCTGAAGAAGAGGATTTTCTCCGCTCGTGCACGTGCGACAAAGGGGATATGAGGGGGATGATCACACTCAATACCGTACGCGGCACTGGCGGCACTCAGGTCAGTGACCGGCGGGCCGGGCCGGGCCGGGCGCCGCCGGTCACCGGGTGGCACCCGGTCACGGCACCGCGGGCCGTCAGGCTGTCACCTGACGGTCGGACCGGGTGACGGTGACCGCCCGGCCGGCCGCCGGGACTGGCAAGTGAACATTACTCAAACGGGAACTGTGAGAGTCAGTCGACGGTGGCAGTACGGTACTCTGTAACAGTGTTGACAGTGAACCCGGGCCGTTCGGCGGCCTTCCGATCACAGGCGCGGCCCGGGGCTGGTGACACTGCCACGGTGAGGCTTCAACTAGTGTATACAATGTTGTCAAATAAACCTACTATGAGCTGTGTGTCGTTGAGAATAGACTGTTGAGGTGCGGAGCTGCCCTGGCCCGTTGAGACTACCCAGTGAATGGGAAGGGAAGGAACCTCAAGAACATCCGTCACTGAGGTAGATTCGCAAAAGATTGACAGGAGGATACCTTGTCTTGCTCTTGAATCGACGTGTGTTCCTGAGCCTTTTCTGCGTACTGATGGAGCAACGAGACATATTCCGAATACTCCATAATGCCTGGCAATTGGGCTCCTTTTGATTGCTCGTCATGCAAGCATGCTGTTGTTAGAGCATGTATTCTCTGAACAAACAGTGGATCCCGCAATGGCTTCAATGACCCAGACGAGCTCCTATAAAGAAGAAATATATTCAGAATATTCGATGCTTTCCTTGAACAAAGGAGTATTAAATTACCTCGACAAGCAATTTTTTAGAAGCGATGTCCACAAGTTGAAGGTTCTTGCAGAAATATCAGGTCCCTGTTCCGCAATCAAATGCAAGATATTTTCTCCTTCAACAGCAGAAATTTCAAATCTCCTGGATATCCTTTCGACAATGCATATCAAGCATTCAAAATTTCATTGGGAACAAAACCATGGTTCCTCCGAAAACATTCGAATAGGTTAAAGCCATGTCTGAGGTACACAATGGCTTGGTTTTTGTTCGATGCGTAGTTTACAGCATGCTCCAGGATATCGAAGATCAGCACGTAGTTGTCCGATGCACTAGCGCCGTCTCCATACTTGGTAATGCAGCTCAACACTTGACGACAAGACAACAAACAGGAATCCACAAAACCGAGCAGAACAGCACTACCCGTCGAGGAGTGCTCCGTACAAGTGATAAGATGCGGCAGATTCTCATACTGCAGCTTTGCTGCATTTCGAACTGAAGTTTCGATCGAATCCAAATAATGGCTAACGATTGCTCGATCAATTTCTCTTCCGCAGATCTTAGCTAGAAACAAAAGTTTCACAGCCATCTGCACTATGCCTTGAAGGCAGGTAGAACGTATTGACTCCGACTGATATAGCACATCTCCTTTTCTTTCCTGATAGATTCGTGGGAAATTACCGTAAAGCTTTACCAGTGTGTAGTAAAACTTGTTCGCGGACAACCCGAGTGGGCTTGTACCTTGATTTTTTGGAATAGCTGTAATATGAAACGGCTTAATGTCTGAAGCCTTTGAGTTTATAAGATGAATGTCCCTCGCGAACATCCGTTTGTGAAATTTGAGCAACATCAATTCTTGACTCACAAATCGTTCGAGGGATTCCTCAGCGCTGTTTCCCTCCCAGAGGACAGTGTTCATGAAAAGATCCGCGTTCCTGTCGCCATGTCACGCGCTCTGACTAAAGACGAATCACAGTGATTCATGGTCGGCACACCTACTGCTGTGAGCACATGCTTCATTCAACATCTGCAGATTATCCACCTTGGGTTCACGAGCTCGATCATCGAAGATGGCTGTTGCAAGGGATAGTTAGCGTCGCATCAATCAACTTCCGAGGCATCACATGCGTCGTCTGCCATCCTCCTTCTCTTTGCGCCCTGTTGGTCCACGACATGGCCAGCAACATGGTTGGATGTTGTCTTGAAAGAAGGATGGAAGGAGTTTTCATCTGTATACCACCGCAACACAAGGATGACGAGTTACGACCAGGCTGACCTCGAAGATGTAAACACGCTCACCATAACCAAACACCGAAGCTTGCATTCCAAGGAGAAGGAACAACGCGCAGCACGGATACGAAGTCATCTATCCTGGTAACTTCCGTTGTGCATGGCCGTAGCAGAACACGCCTTTACCTCTCCGTTCACCTCCCCTACCTGGCATCCGCATCGTTGGGAGTTCCGGAAAATTTAGTAAAAATATTTGTACTAGTAGTGGTGGAATCGGGGAGGAAACAACTGTGGCAGAAGGAAATGGAGATGGAGGGAGCGAAAGACGCGGACGGAGATCAAGAAAGTCAAGAAGACAATGACAGAGACAGTGATAAGATATTGAGAATAGTTTTAGACTGTGATGAGAGATTGAGAATGTTTTTGATAGTGAGAGATGGAGATGGAGTTGTGTGTGAGAAAAACACAAACGCGAGAAGAAGCACCCGTCGATTCAACGAGAAGCGAAAAGAAACAGTAGTGGATATATTATTCTCAAGCTCTAGATAAACTTCCAAGTCGGCAAGAAATCTTATCCCGAAACTTTATTGGCTGCTACAACGAAATACTTTTGCTCGCTTGCTCAAGGCCATTCACGAAGAAGCCAAGAGACTCGTACGGAGTTTGTACGAGCCGTCTTATGGCCCTGGATGATTCACATGCGATAAACAGACAATAACAAAACCATCGTATATCTTCGTCTGCAAGAGGCTGCTAAAACAGCAAGCAGCAACACATGAAGGATAATGGCAAGGAGTGATTTGATGAACAAAAAGACCTTGTTGTAATTATCAGTTGCCCTCCACTTCTGCATCTTGACTCTCGTCGGAGAAAGTCTGAGCTCTCAAGATCTCTCTTCTCTTCTCTCAAGATCTCTCTTCTCTTCTCTCAAGATCTCTCTTCTCTTCTCTCAAGATCTCTCTTCTCTTCTCTCAAGATCTCTCTTCTCTTCTCTCAAGATCTCTCTTCTCTTCTCTCAAGATCTCTCTTCTCTTCTCTCAAGATCTCTCTTCTCTTCTCTCAAGATCTCTCTTCTCTTCTCTCAAGATCTCTCTTCTCTTCTCTCAAGATCTCTCTTCTCTTCTCGCAAGATCTCTCTTCTCTTCTCGCAAGATCTCTCTTCTCTCAAGATCTCTCTTCTCTTCTCTCAAGATCTCGCTTCTCTTCTCTCAAGATCTCTCTTCTCTTCTCTCAAGATCTCTCTTCTCTTCTCTCAAGATCTCTCTTCTCTTCTCGCAAGATCTCTCTTCTCTTCTCGCAAGATCTCTCTTCTCTTCTCGCAAGATCTCTCTTCTCTTCTCTCAAGATCTCTCCTCTCTTCTCTCAAGATCTCTCTTCTCGCAAGATCTCTCTTCTCTGAAGCCTGGAAAAAGCTTCACCTTCCAAAGACGAGTGACATCCAGCACAATTCCTAGCCCATTTCTGACTTTTCTTTTCGGGCTTTCAACAACCTGTTTCTCATGTTGAGCCACGACAACTTCTGGCATCAATCTATACACACACTTATGTTCTCATGTGCAAACTCATGTCCTCTTGTACTCATTCAACCTCGGGTGCGTAACTGCTTCACTGTATCGCATCGCACAACCTGTCAGCGTCGCATTTCTTCGTTCCTTCGATTCTTGTATTGACTCTGGTTCCTCGTTCTTTCTACCACCCTACCCCCTGTATTGTGGTTCTGATCGGTTAAACTGGACCACATGTACTCCCACTACCCCCTTTTGTACGAAAGTGTTTGGGAGGACCACCCCAAATTCTGAAATGACATACCCCACCCTGCCAAATTGATCTCCCAGCCCTACCCACCCTGATGATTGGCAGAGGCCCGTGGAAGCCGCGCGTTAGCGTTGGATCCATGGAATGAGAGGCGGCGCTGCAGCAGAGGGGGGGGGAAGAAATGAGAGGGAAGCGCCTCCATGGGGGAATGACGGAGATCCATCATTGCTGTGTGAGGAGAGATCTTACTTCCGAACCTGCAGCAGCGGCAGCAGCAGCGGCAGCAGAAGCCGCTGAGCAGCAGCAGCCGCTGAGCAGCAGCAGCGGCAGCAGCGGCAGCAGCGGGAGCAGAGGGAACAGCGTCACTCATTGAAGTAGCAAGAAATTTAGGCGTGCAAGGAAGGACCACGGAGGAAAGTTCTCCTCCAAGAAAGTTGTGATATCTTTTTCATACAAGAAGAGGGAGATACTGTTTGTTAAAAACAAAGGGAAGCATTATAGGAATCACCAGTTTTCATAGGTCACTGACTGTAACGGCTGACTGATAACTTGTGAAAATTAGATGAAGATCGAGGAGGTCAAGTCTACCACCAAGACAGAGCGCATAGCATCGCACAGCCACGTCAAAGGCCTTGGTCTTAATGAGAGTGGAGCAGCTGACCCTGTTGCTGCTGGTTTCATCGGGCAAGAAAAGGCTCGTGAGGTGCTCAGTCAATTGGCTTGATCTATACCGAGTAGCTCATGCGGTTGTCGACAGGCTGCCGGCATTGCCGTCGACCTGATCCGGTCAAAGAAGATGGCAGGTAGAGCCGTCTTGTTTGCTGGAGCGCCTGGAACAGGAAAGACAGCGATTGCCTTGGTATTACTTTATGCTATGTAGGTTGAGGCTGAGGGGTTGTGCTCAGGGTATGGCCAAAGAGCTGGGGCCGAAGGTTCCTTTCGTTCCGATGGTCGGATCGGAAGTGTATTCATCAGAAGTGAAGAAAGTTGAGATTCTGATGGAAAATTTTCGACGAGCCATCGGCCTTCGCATCAAGGAGAACAAAGAAGTGTACGAAGGCGAAGTGATCGAATTGACACCGGAAGAAACTGAAAATCCGCTTGGAGGATATGGGAAGACCGGTTAGCGATAGACTCCCAATTCAATCAGCGATAACCATTTCCTTTCAGTCTCTCACGTCATTATCGGTTTGAAAACAACGAAGGGTACCAAGCAACTAAAACTGGATCCAAGCATTTATGAGTCGTTGCAAAAGGAGAAGGTGAGCAAGTTCATATTATCTTTTTCCCTGTTCATCTTCCATCTGAGGTTTGGTATACAGGTTGTTGTTGGAGATGTGATTTACATCGAAGCCAATTCTGGAGCAGTGAAGAGGGTGGGTCGATCAGACGCCTACGCGACAGAGTTCGATCTGGAGGTGAGCATGGTGGAATCAAATTTCAATTCTCAGAGTGAGACCTAGGCCGAAGACTACGTTCCTATGCCAAAGGGAGACGTTCACAAAAAGAAAGAAGTAAGCTGACTGCTGTGATGTAAGATGCGCCCAGTGATCTTAAAATTCAATCAGGTTGTTCAAGACGTCTCCTTGCATGACTTGGACGTTGCCAATGCGAGACCACAAGGAGGTCAAGATATTTTTAGCATGATGAACCAAATTGCGAAGCCTAAGAAAACGGAAATTACTGAAAAGGTAAAGTTGCTTGATTATCCCTGATCTGTTGACACATGCCTGCCTCAGCTTCGCATGGAAATCAACAAGGTTGTCTCCAAGTACATCGATCAGGGAGTGGCAGAGCTTGTGCCTGGTACATGTTCTTGCTGAATTACAAGAATTGCTCATTGCGTGTCAGGCGTTTTGTTTGTCGATGAGGTGCACATGTTGGATTTGGAGTGCTTCACATATTTGAATCGTAAGCATGCGACGTCCCGTTAATGTCATGTGCTCAAGCTCTTCAATCAGGAGCGCTTGAGTCCACACTTTCCCCCATCGTCATCTTCGCCACTAATCGCGGGATGTGCACTGTACGTGGAGCGGATATCGTGTCGCCACACGGCATCCCTGTAGACTTGCTCGATCGATTGTTGATCATCCGAACTGAGCCTTACAGCGTGGAAGAGATGGCACAGGTGAACTGCAGCTGGTAGCTCTTACAATTTGAGAGACACTGAATATCTGTAGGTCATTGCTCTTCGTGCCAAGACTGAAGGAATTGAGATTGAGGCTGATGCTCTTGTCTCCCTCTCTCAGATCGGTGAAAGGGCTACGCTGCGGTATTGGCCTCGCAATTCAGTTGCAGCAGTCTAATAGTCAATCGCAGATATGCTGTTCAGCTCCTCACCCCTGCCAACATCATCGCGAGAATGAACGGTCGAACCAGTATTGCTCCCGGTGACATCGAAGAGGTGAGGGCCATAAGCATGTGTGGAAAATCAGCGAGGACGCTGTGGATCTGTTGGAATAGAGGGAGGGAGAGAAGGAGGGAGCGGGGTGAGGGGGAGGAAAACAACAAGTTTGTATTGAGAATGGACAGATGTAGAGATACAGAGTGTCAGATTGAGGGTAATGTGTTGAGGGTAATGTTGTATTAGGTCGACAATCTCTTCTTCGATGCCAAGTCTTCTGCGAAACTTCTTGCAGAGCAGGTTTTTGAGAGTTGTTGGATTTAGGGATATGTTGATGTGTTTGACAGGCCGACAAGTACATTTCATGATCTGGGATCCTCAAGCAACAATAAACAAATAATTTCCTATTGTCATTCCATCTGGAGTGTTAAGGGGATCTCCTGATACTTTTACATCCTGAATTTGTTCTTAATCCATCGGATCTCATTCGAGTAAGTATCAGAGTGCATACCTCTGTGTAATTCGATCATATCTTCATCATCATCAGGATCGATCATGTCATCAAAATCTCTTTTGATGTTCATGGCGTAGTTCGCCATTTGATCAGCTTCTTTGTTGTGTTCTCGTAGGACATGGCACAAATCAATCGCTTCAAACTGATAGAAATCAGACGCAACTAAGCAATCAAGTGTGCACCTGCTCCATCAACGACATCGCCTCTTTGCACAACTCTTGGAGGTGCGTTTTATCACATCTCCATTGCTTGTTTACCTACTGCATGTGAGCTTTGTAGAGGCGATGGATATAATCAGCCTGGTTGATGACAAGCTTACTGTCGCCGTTCACCTTAAGCCTTGTGATCTTCAGTTCACGCGCCTTTCGCAGGCCTGGCTAGGTTAGTTTAGAGCACGATCCGGCAGGTCTTACCCAGGATCAGGCCTTTGTACTCAGCCTCGTTGTTGGTGGCAGCACCCAAAAAGAGCCCTCCTCTCCATATCATCTGATGCTTATGGTATAGAACAGCTCCTGACCCAGCTGTTGTTGTGCTCTGACCATTCCCTCGCGATCCTCCATCGAAAGAGAGAAAGTAGTGAAATGAAGCAGTATCTAAAGACTTGATCTTCTTGTTGCTGGCATGGAGCTGATTGCATGTTTTGCTTTCATATTGAATGTCTGTCGGATCGACAACTTGTGCCTTCCTCTGCCTCTTTCCGACTCATAAATAGTAAGGCAAATGAATGTAAGTGTTAAAGATACCTTGAGGAAGGTCTAATGAAGCAGAGGGTTGTTCTGCCTCATGCAACCACTAGCAAATAAATTTTAATCGGCCAGATTTCGCTCTCACAGAGCAAAGGAGAGGAAATCTCTGACCTGTTCTGCTTCTTGTATGGACTTAAACTTCCTGAGCATGCGCAGTGAGTCCACAAAAGAAGCTTCCGTGAGAGAGCACAAGGGGTCGCGCCTTGATACAGGGACTCACCTCAGGTTTTGCATTCCATGAGGAAATCCAGTGACTTGCTCGAACGCATCTTCCCCTGCCTCTTCTCATCAGGTCGGCAGACGATCAGTACAAGACACTTCAAAGAACAGGCAGGAAAAGACAGCAATCATCTTCGGATGGATATTTTGATGGATAGAGATGGAATGGAGAAAAAGTAAGAAGAAGACCGCACATGAAAAAAAGACTCCTGTCTTCCTGCCCACCCGCACGGCCCAGCAAACTTCCTTCTTCTTCTCCATTGCAGGTTGCCCCCACTCTGTACCTGTGTTGACCAACTTGAATGAAAGACTTTAACTTAACGTTGAGTAAAGCCGACCGTGCCAGCCTGCCTTCACTCTACTGTCTGACCCTCTCAGTAGAGTCAAAGTGAGGCCCCGGGCCCTGCCTTCAAGTTTTACTGAGGGTTGGGGGTTTACTGAGTTAGCCTAGTAGGGTTGAGGGTTGAGCCTGGCACGGTTTAGCCCGGGTTTAGGGTTGAGGGTTGAGGGTTGAGGGTTTGGGCGATGGAGGGAGTGACATCTGCCAGGCCGGACTGAGTCAGCGAGAACTTGAAGATCAGGGAGGCGCTCGCAGTCGAGCTGACACTCAGCGGCAGGCGACGGCCGCAATTCAGCCGTGTCACCGCCGCCGCAAAACAAGCTGAAAAAGGCAACAAGGATCGGATGTAGAAGAACCGGGCAGCGGGCAGCAGCAGGGACTTAGGGTTTAGGGTTTAGGGTTTAGGGTTTAGGGTTTAGGGTTTAGGAGCCGGCCCTTAGTAAGAGCATGCTGCCCTGCGGCGCGTAGGGAGAGCGCAAGGGGACCGGTGGAAGCTGCGAGCAAGAGGTTCGTATAGTTCAAACAGCTTTCTAAGCATGGTACTACAGTATGATGAAAGCGTTCGCAACCTGCTGTATCGGAGATCATGCCAATACACGCAGGGTGAGCGCTCTGGAGGCCACGTCGAGGAGGCCGCCGACCTCGTCGAGAAGGTGAAGAACTTCACCAAGCGTTATCCGAATAGTCGGACAGCTTATGCTTGCAGAGCTGAGGGGGGATGCACTCCCGACGCTATCGCTGAAGCCATCCGCTCGACATGTCGGCAGGCGAGACGCGACCTGTTTGAAGACTCTCTGAGCGAATGGAGCTCAGAGTCGAGAGCATGGTTTATTCAACAGATGGAGGAGGCCAAGAAGCAGAATGTCGAGACATACATCGGCACCGAAGGCACCGAGGGGACCTCCTTCATCTCCATGACTCTCCTAGGGATTTCCTCGATGTATGTTCGACAAGAAGAAAAGTTGAAAACGAAGCTTATGGAGCTAGGTCTCATGGTAGACTCAGTCGATGGAGTCGACAAGGCCATCATGTGGAAGCACCTTACAGACCTGAGATAGCACGAGCAGACGACATCTCAGTCACCGTCTCCTTCCTTCGGAATGAAGCAGCCATGGAGCTATGGGAAGGCAGGACAGAATACGCCATCGAAGGGAGAGTCTTTCGAGCCACAGAGGTGAGCATTGCACATGACCGGTCGTTCAAGCTTCGAGCCAAGCGAGGACCTTGGGGCAAGGGAGGGAGCCTTGCCGAGCTATCGCAGCTCTTAGCTCTTGGAGGAATGTCGACGGCTGAGATCGCTCAGATCTATCGATTTCAGCTGCTCTCGCAATCTCTTGCAGCCGCAGAGGTACAACCACTTGCGGGCATGCTCGTGCAGGGTCCTGGGCAGAGAGGTCGCAAGGGGCCGAGCCCGAAGACGTATGTCGCTGTTGGGGCAAGTACGGGCACTCTCCAGCAAAAAGAGCTGGAGTGGGTGCTGAGCTCGCCTTCGACGGCAAGCTGCGAGCAGACCTTGGCCTCGTTCAGAGAGAGCGAGGCGATGGAGGGGGTGCATCTCACTCTCATCAGCGACGACGTCAAGCTCAGAGAGACGTTTGCCGCAGTCGAGCTCACAGCCGACACCTTCGTGCCGAGGGGAAAGATTGCCAAGCAAAGGAGGGCACTTCGCGAGAGAGATCATGCGGGGCGCAGCAGCTTTAGAGTACAGATCAAGTCGAGGTCAAGCATGAGCACAGGCCGCTTCTCGAGGAAGGAGATGGAAGCGCTGTGCGGAGAGGGCAGGGAAGAAAGCTGGGTGCATATCCAGCTAGCCTGCAAAGAATTTGAGCTCATGATCGCTTTGGCACACAACAGAGTAATGGAGACAATCAAGGGATGCCTGACAGAAAGCTGGAAGAAGAAAAGTGTTGAACAGGAGAGTTGGTGGCAAACGCCAATCAACTCTATGACAGGGCTAGGACTGACTGCACCAGAGCACGGCAATCTTATACCAGATGGGCTCTGCTACTTCAGAGGGAGCAATCGCATTGTGCTGGTGGAGATAGCAAGAACTTCAGAGTTCACGGGCGAGGGAAGCAGTCTGGCAAACCTGAAAGCAAAGTTTCAGGAGAAAGAACAGAAATATGCAGCACTGCGGGCAGAGATGACAAGTAGGAGCGACAACACAGAGGTCATACAAGCCACGTTCATTGCAGGAGTGAGAGGCAGTATTATGGAGCGGGAATGGACCACAAATTTCCGGAACTTGCTCATGGACGAGGATATGATTGACAGAGCCATGACCAAGATAGTCATCCAGCTGCTCGAAGTGCAACACATGCTGTGGACCTCAAGGAGACGAGGAGACACGACCAACAGAGAACAAGCATGAAGGATATAAGATGGTTGGAAGATGAAGGGGTAAATATCAACGAGGACAGATCACAAGGGAAGCCTCAAAAGCTAGCAACCAGGATCAGCATGGCTGGGAAGGGGCAAGGACACAGAAGACAGATGGGAGACGAAAGGGCAACGGTCAACGGACAGACCGAAGGTGAAGCCTCATAGGCGAAAAACAACCAACATGGCAAGGAAGGGGCAAGGACACAGGAGACAGATGGATGACGACAGGGGAAAGGTCAACAAGGACAGACTGACGGGGAAGCTTCACAGGCGGCAGGCGGGGAAGGGACATGGACTTAGCGCAAAAACTGGACAGGTGGACGGTTACACTGAAACCGTCAACCCGGGCCCGGAGGAGACATGGCCGCACCGGCGGCTCGGAACTGAGGACTATGGAAACAACAGAAACAGCGAAACAACGATAGAACCCTGGATGCCACAACGGGCCATCCAAGAAGGGCCGCTCTGCCAAGCGTGAGAACCCATTTAGACTAGACTAGACCGGGAAGGTACCCGATGCGACTACTCTAGCATTCTAATAAAATCGACTACTACTACTAGGGTTTAGGGTTTAGGGTTTAGGGTTTAGGGTTTAGGGTTTAGGGTTTAGGGTTTAGGGTTTAGGGTTTAGGGTTTAGGGTTTAGGGTTTAGGTAGGGCGCCGTTATTTTCGGCAGCATGGCTCCTCGTCAGGTGTAGGGGAAGCCGCCAGGGCGCCAAGGAAGCTGCAAGCAAGAGGTTTGTATACTTCAAATAGCTTTCTAAGTATGGTTCTTCAGTATGATGAAAATGTTCGCAACCTGCTGTATCGGAGATCATGCCAATACACGCAGAGCGGACTTGTGGATGCCTCTGTCCTCGAAGCTGATCTCGTCGAGAGGGTGAAGAGCTTCGCGAAGCGTTATCCGAACAGCAGGACAGCCCAGGCTTGCAAGGCTGTGGAGGGATGCACCCCCGACGCTATCGCAGAAGCCATCCGCTCGACATGTCAGCAGGCACGACGTG